GTTCTATTTTGAACTGAGAATAATTCGCTTTTTATCAATTAAGGAAACTTGTAGTATTATTAAACAGAATGTCAATGAAAGACATTGCGTTTGCATAGTGAATTATGAAGTACTGAAAGGTAGTAAAGAAGGTGAATTAAAGAATTAATTTGAACAAATAAGGTAAGGCTATCATTAAAAAAAAAAACTGTTCAAAGATGTATGTTAGAATTAAAAAGTAAGATGTTAAAATTTAAAAGATGTAACAGAGTAAAACCAAAGAATACTGGTAATTCCCATCTGGAAAACAGTAATTTGAGTACGATATTGAAAAAGTTGGTTTTAAGAATTTCTTTATGCATGTGATGCAAAACAATTGCTAGTTTATCATGAGTGCTGGCATAGATGCAATTAGTGTAGGAAAAGTAGTAAAATTAGTATAGTCAGTGTCTCTAAAACATGAAAAAATAATAGTGAGAGCAGTGTAAATTCATTTGAAGTACTGAAATATGACATAGACTAAATATCAGAAGATGTAAGAAATATTTTGGTATGTGTCGATGGAACACTGAATGTGGTTGTAAAATTAGAAATGAAAATTATCAATACACTTAAAGGTAATCGAGATTTAGAACTGAACATGATGTTAGACACTTTGAAGATCGTAATACTATATGAGAAAGAATACATTTACATATAAATGGTATTAAACTGTAAAGTTGTGAATGGAAATTTCTGAGTAAAACCTGTAGACGATTTATTATGATCGGAGAATAAAACAAGTATTTTAAAAATTGTAAGGAAATGTTTGAATATGGAGTAAATGAAAACAATTCATATTGTTAAAATGAATAAAAAGGCATAAAATGTTGGAATTACGAGTGATGAGACAGAAATAAAAACATTATAATAAATAAGTTAAACTAAAATTAAGAAATATAAACACAGAAGGGAAATCATGAACGTAAGAAAAGCAATTAACAGTTATAGACTTAAGTTTTTAAAAAAAATATTCGGTAATGTAAGGAAGATATTGTTGAACATGTGAAAGAAATTAGAATTCCGTAGAAATTTAGTAAAAGAACCAAGATCAGGAAAAATAAACGTTTTCTTTTTAAATAGAATTTCAAACCACTAAGTTAAAGTGTGTGTAGAATACTAGAATGGTTTAAAAAAAGTAAATGAAGTTAAAATTCAGAATATATTGAAACATTTAACGTTAAAAAAAAGTGTGAAATTGCTCTAAATTAAGTAGTGTACAAATAAACAGCATGTGCGGTAACGTTGTAAAATATAATATATAAGTTAAAAATCAGGGTATGCTGAAAATGGTATGAAAGGTGTTTAAAAAAATAATATGTGAAAATTAAATAAATATTACAAATTAGAAACGTTAAGTATTAAAAAAAATATGACAGTAAATGAATATGTTATTATGAACAGAAAACATGAGAAATAAGTTAAAGTTTCATGGAAAAACTAGAAGAATAAAAGCATCAGAATAAAATTGAGTAATAAAAAAATTATCTTGTAGTTTCATTAAAGGAAAGTCTTTTTATATTTGTTTCTTTTACATTTTTTCAGAGCCGCGCATTGAATAATTTTAACACCAGACGTAAAAATATATTTCTAAACATATCATTCACTTTTTCATTAATAGAGGGCGCATCGCCATTTCATCAAATTAAGATGCAAAATATTTCCCGTTGCCAATTTTTAAAAACTAACTTTAAATGAAAAGCAGGAGGTCTACAACTCAATCAGCAATCTACCAACAACTCAACTCCGTGACAACGCACCCTCCTAGTGTGTGTCATTGATAACGTTGCCCGTTGACTTTGGCCCGCACTCTGTATGACGTCAATGGCCACGCCCTCAGCTCCTCCTGATGCAGAACTGTCATTTTTATACTACTAAGGTAACTGCGGTCAATAATGTTCTAATTTTACAAATTTATAATTTTTGTTTTCATTTCGACATATTTACTTTTATAAAAGTCATTTTATATTCAGTTTCAGATCTATAAAAATTATTCCAAATTATTTCATATTCCGTTTTAGGTTTTACATTGAGTCCTTTTTATAAATATGTGTTTGATTGAATGGGACAAGAATAGCATAGTACAAATTTTGTAATTGATTCATTAACCGTTTAACTGTCAAGTTATTTTGATGATTTTGGGTACACAAATTGTCAAATTTTTTTATTGGAAAAACCAAATGTAGCCGAAGTAAACATCTCCAGATATATATTCGGGTATGACAATACGATGCACTCAAAAAAAAATTACCCCGAGAAATACTTGGGCGTGACATTTTCGAACACCAGTGCTGTGCCCGAGATAATCTCGGGCATGACAGTTAAAAGGTTAAGGCAAAACAAACTAGCTCTGAAACTAAAACTGTACAAATTTTGTTTCGTAACAGTGAAAAATCTTCTGGTTAAGAAATCGCTACTAGACGCACTGTTAATCAAAATGGCGCCATCCTTGCAAGAGAAAGCGTACTGTGTTTTGGAATGCACCGAAACATCATCGTTAATTGGTCTTCAAAGATATTTTCTCACGAAAAGTGGTAAAGAACCACCGCATCGTGACAACATCAAACGGTGAGTGAACCCGTTTCTGGACACGGACGGTTTATGTGAGAAAACCAGCCCAGGACAAACAACAGCCAAAACCGAAGTGGTTGAAAAAAATCATGAAACATTATTACGAAGTCCCGTAAAATTAATGCGTCGTGCGAGTTCTGAACTCTATGTGCCTCATGTAACGGTGTGGCTGTGTTACGGAGACGTCTATAATTCCGGCCATGCACCATTCAGGTAGTGCAGAAATTAAAAACCAAACAAACAGACAAAAAGTTTTATGTGAGAATTTGCAAGATGAGCTGGAGGTAGATAGTTTTGCGAATAGACGTGTTTATTGAGGAAGCCACTTTTCACGTTTCTGTCATAGTGTAGTTAATTCCTATAATTTACGATTTTAGGGCACGGAATATCTACATGGTTTAATGGAACACATGACCGTAATTATCCAAAGGTGAATGTTTTCTGCGCCATTTTCAACAGTTGTGTTTTTTCCTTCCGTGGAGAAACCGATTAACATGTGCATTTACCAAAATATTCTACAACAGTTGTTGTTCCTTTAGATGGAGGAAATGATTCAATGCCTAATTCTGCAGCAAGACAGTGCTCCACCACACTGGCATAGAAAATACGAAAGTACTTGAACGATAATCTACCCCCCAACGCTGAATTCGCCTTGCTGGGTCAAACGATATGACATTGCTTCGTTGGCCACCGAGATCCCCACATCTAATATCTTGTGATTTTTTTCTGTGGGTTTTTGTTAAAGTAGTACTAACAGCTACAGAAACAGCTGATATAAGAAGCGATCGAATCATTAACAAAGGCTATTCTATCACGAGCGTGGCAGGAACTGGAATACTCCATAGATATTTGCCGTGTCACCGAAGGGGCACACATAGAACTTGGATAACTATAGTTCCATTGTAAATTTGATTTATCAAAATGAAGTAATTGCAACGTTCACAAGTATGCTTTATTTTTGTCCCATTTAGTATAAAACACCCTATATTTAAGAGATTTTTCGTAAAATCCATAAAGTCAGAAAATAGAAAGCATCATATTATCCATATCTTTGTCCATATTTTATAAGTTCTTTGTTATCGAATCTAATCTTTTTATTTTTTATTTGCACTCATTCATTTATTCAACATATTCTTTCATAAACAAAAAAATCCCCCTTTTCGTTGTTGACTTCACTTCTGAGCTCTTCCTTTAATTTCTTCGTCACTGAAATCTTTTAATGCATAAGTAGGAAGATCCGTGATTGAAACTTCGGAAATAATAAAAATATTTTCTGTAAGGGAGGGGTCATACTTCCTTCAGGAAACAAGCTTAAATTTTAAGATATGATTGGTATCACCGATTTTTAATTTCGGCTTTTAATTTCTCTCAGCTTATATAAATTCTTATAAACCAAACTCTCGGATTTTAAAATTAAATATCTTATCAATTACAATAGCGAGAGCTTTTCGCATTCTCTTTTTATAATGACTACAAGTTAAATAAAAAAGTTACAGGGTAAATGTGCAAAATATCAGATTTATTTTGTTTGTGCGCAAAATAAGTTATGTATAGTTTGGTTGTAAATTTAAATGCATAATAAGCGCTAATATACTTTTGATTAAATAAATCCGTCTCTTCGAATAACGATGCTCATATGGAGGGGAATACCGCCTATTTGAGCATTTCATTAGTGATTGCGATATATTTTGAATTCCAGCATTTAATTTAACCTTACCGCATCCAACGAAATATACCTAGTTACGTTAAATAGCAGGATAGTAATAGTCTTAATAATAATGCAAAGAGCAAACCTTCAATAATAGCAAAATTTATTTAGCTTGAAATTAGAATCAGAATTTTTAGATCAAAATGTATGATAAACTATTCACAGGTGTAGATAACTTGTTTTCGTTAATGCCATACCAGCATTTCCACAAAGAATATTCATCACTCGTTTTGCTTATAAACGAGTGTTGAAAATAATATTATTATTTAATTATATCTATTACTATCTACAGTGTCGCAGCGAAGCTGAGCACCATTATACGTCTCTTTATTTTTCTTGCACTAAACTCTTTAAATAATACTTGTATGTAAATTGTAAAATCGGAAACCTAATTGTGACTCAGAAAACTTAGGCTTTACCTCTCATGAACATATGTGCTTCGAGTCAGTTCCTATTACAGCATTTTGCATTTTAATTGCTCTGTTTTTATTCTATTTTTTTGCTTTTGCGCCCATTATACTTTTTATCTAGTTTCCTCGTGCCTATTAAATTAAAAAAAATACCTCGGCTCCAGAAAATTGTACCAAACTAAACATATAGCATAGCTCGAACATTAATGTGGCCAATTAGTAATATAATTGAATTCTTCTCCAAAACAATTCATAAAAGATAATGATAAGTTTTTTTTTCTACTATAGCTTACACTAGAGTTGAATATCTTGACCATACTGAATAATTCTAGTTCCCATTGAAACGATGGTGCTAAAATTTGCACGTTGTCCACGTACATGGGCAGCGACATCGGAAATGAAGACCACCGGCTAAATGACAGTGAAAATGGACCTAATGCCAAGTCAACTTCCTATAATGATAATAGAGAACTAGAAATTATAATATATACATTATTTATACTTACCAAATAGTAAATCTATTTTTAAAAAAATATTACCATTCACAATATTTTCTCTTATTTTTGAATATTAAATATCATTTTAGGTGCATGATCATAGCCGTATATAAATGTGATAGTTATCAGAATTTTCACCGGCACTTTTTCTTTGATTGTCGCGTATAGCAAAAGAATATACTGCAAAGTGTAATTATTATGTGTTATTAGCCGTTTTACCTTGATAATAAGACCAGATGCATCGGGTCTTATTCCTCTCATTTACAACTTTGATAACAAGAGGTAATTAAATTATAAGTAAAGTGCCGAATAACAGATTATTCCTAGCACTAAAATTCACAGCTTCATATTTAAAAGATTAGTTTCCGACTATAAAATCCTGGGGTATACACAGTATTCCTTGCCAGTGGTTAATATTTGTTGGTGTAACCCAGAGAGCCTTAAACCTTCGCTAAGGAACATGAAGGAATGTAAGGAAATAAGAAACAAGCAGATCCTCTATTGCTCAACATTGCTTATTAAAAAAAATCAATTTTTCAGATTCCTCAGCCAACGTTATTCAAAATACATGTTCCTTTAGCGAACTAAATTTACTAGAGGCGTTTCACGTTCATAAAGAATCTTTCAGTTCTAATTAATGCTCCGAATTCCAATCCGAATTTAGCCTTAGCTTTTAAATAAATAATTTCATAGGTATTTTTCATATTTTATCAGTAGATGGCGCCAGCAGCTATGCTATCGTTTTTTAATGAAACTTTTTCGAATTTTCGAGTGTACTGTTTTCACGGATATCGCGTTAGCTCAAACTCATCTTTCGTTATTTTCACTTCTGCACCTGAATACCTTCGAAACCAGAGTTTTGCGAATTTATAAAATTTACGGTTGATTATTCTTTAAATTTCTTATAATAAGACGTAAGATTGAAGCTTAATGCTCAGGGAAAATTTTTTCAGTTTTCAAGTGCTCATGTTAGGTGATTGCTGTTGATTATTTCTCATATCTTTTTGCATTGAATATATCTTTTTACTCCAAAGGGGCTTTCTCCCTGAGGGACTATTGTTTTCGTTTTGCGATTTTGCGTCAAATTACTCTGAATGTCCGTTTCACTTATCAAACTATTGCCACCAAATATTATTGCTCTGTATTATATTTGAAGAAATTAAATAGTGAAGACATAAACGTATGTATGTTTCTCGCAGTGTGAGTCTCGCAGTATTTTTCAGTTTTCAAGTGCTCATGTTAGGTGATTGCTGTTGATTATTTCTCATATCTTTTTGCATTGAATATATCTTTTTACTCCAAAGGGGCTTTCTCCCTGAGGGACTATTGTTTTCGTTTTGCGTCAAATTACTCTAAATGTCCGTTTCACTTATCAAACTATTGCCACCAAATATTATCGCCCTGTATTATATTTGAAGAAATTAAATAGTGAAGACATAAATGTATGTATGTTTCTCGCAGTGTGATAAAACTACGGTACCTAGAGCCATCAAATTTTGAATGACGTAATCCTACTGCGAATATGGGCATTTGGAAGTCCAAATTTGAAATTTGGAATTTGCTTTAGTATTGATTTCATATTTTGTAAATTTGTAACAAATTTTTGACTATCAAACTCAAGGATTTCAAAGCGAGCAACGGCAACGTTGTACAGAAAAAACATTTTATCTCCAGCGCGTGAGACTCTGTATCGGAAATTCTAAAGAATTACTCAGTTTAAAATTATTTTGCGATATTGCTGTTGAACTGAATTTTATGGTTTAAGTGCGAAGAACATGATATTCAAGAAATAGAGGTAACACACAAAATGTTAAGAAAACTCTCCTTTGGACGTAATTTAAAATATGAAACCTTTCAGATTTTATTTTTATATTTATTGTACATATTTTTTACATTAAAGTTTCACTTTATTGCATTTTTTGAGAAAATTAAAGAATACTGCAATATATAATAAAAATAAATGCAACTTGTCCAGCATAGAGTTTTCAAGAAAATGATAAATGTGAAAATGGGATGGGAAGTAAAATAAAAGAAAATGAATTTTTTAATAAATAAATATTTAAAATAAAATAGGTATTTATTTATTTTGTATGCAGTTCCCTACTAAGAGCAATATAAACATTTTTGTACCTGTGTGAAAGCCATGTCTCTGATGGGTAAAAATTAGCTGGGCTAAATTCTTGTGAATCTGAATCCGATACCCAGAATTCTTCCTTTAAGATATATAATAAGAAGAAGAAAATTGGCATCGAAAAAATTTTAATTCGAACAAAATTTGAAATCTGAGTTTAAAATACAACAAATTTAAAATTTTAATTGTAATTTTTAAAAAGAATTGCAACTTTAACTGCAGTATTAAAATACTGTATTTTTTAAAATGCATCTAATTTTTAAAAATAAAAAAGCTTGAGTGTTTTGACGGCTTATTTAAAAGATATAAATGAAATTTTGTAAATAAAGAACATAACTGAAATTTTTGAATTTAGAGACTGAATTTCCTCAGCATAATTTCACAAAAAATATATCAGTAACGTTTAAAATTAGGCAATAAAGCAATCTTATAATGGAGCCTATGATTTCCAGAGAGCAAATTGAGTAGCCGATGGGACTAAGTCCTCTTGAAATTTGGAATTATAATATATCTCGCGAATATTTTGTCGAAGGCGTGACATAAATGTCTCTGTAAAATAATACCATTAACTCTGGACGTAGCAGATTCCTGACGAGATACACTTTTGCCGAGGAGAAGCAAAGACAGGTGATGGAGGACGGGGACGTAATTACGTAATTGAACATGTCCATACCAAGGCGAAGACATGGAAATTTTGTCATTCCTAACCATATTTATACAGAACTTATGGGACAGATGAAAATAAACACAGAGCAGTCCATTGACAGAGAGCGTCATGTTCGTTCGCTGATTTCGCTTTGTTCCACTTCTTTATTTTCGTGAAACCAAGCATATCTCTGCGCCCAGCTTTGCAAAGCTTTTAAGCTCCTGAAGAAAACCGATCTCCATCTGATCAGCAACGAAATCGAGAAAATTTTGTTCAAAATCTAATATAAGGTTGGTTTTCAGAAAAATTTTTAAATTTTACATTGGCGTGTTTTTCCATTGGATTAGATTTGAGTAACGGTATCAGTTCTTACATTTTTCTCAGAGTCCTTTTAAATCAAAACGAGTGAGGAGGGAAGAGGGTTATTTCAAGAGCCAATATAGATCCTATTTAAAATTGATCTATATTAATCTCTCCAAAACTTTAAGAAAAGGACACTTATGCTGGCCGCAAGGTACTTTGAATTTTGCAGTTTCGAAGTTTCTAATTCGAATAAAAATCCGGAGATTGCAAAAATCAGTCTCCCTTTTTCCTTTTCTTCTTTCTTTTCTTTTCTTTTTCTTTTTTTTTTTTTTTTTTTTTTTCTTTTTCTTTCTTTTTTTTTTTTTAATAAACACGTCTATTAGTTATAAATAAAGATCTGAGGTAAGCTCTTAACAATTTTTTAGGTCAGGAATCTAAAGATTAGAATGACGAAAGGAAGATTTGAATTTTCGAATCTTTTTTTCTGAAATTCATGGGATTTTACGATTTAGATACCCCACCCGTAATAAAAAAGACATTATTCTCGAGTTCTTGAGTTATTCTTGCTCTGAAGTAAAGCACGGTTCAATTTAATTAAACTCCACAGAAATCGTTAACGTCTATCATTTCATCTTTTCATCATCTTCCAAACACATGCACTTAATTTTATTAACACTTTATACGCTAGCTAGCGCATCTACGTCTTTTCTATCTTTTGTAGTACAGTAATTCCTAATATGTAACACGCGTACACCTGGGATGAGACACAATAATCAATAATTGCAAAAAAGAAAACAATGAGGTGCTATAGCTTTCAGATTTTACATTACGCCCAAAGGGCCGTTTTTTTAACGTTTTGTGTGCTACCTTTATTTGTTAAATATCACGTTCTTCGCAGTTAAATCGCCATAAAATTTAATTTAACAGCAATATTGCAAAATAATTTTTAAATGAGCATATCTTTAGAATTTCCGATACACAGTCTCGCGGCGCTGGAGATTTTTTTTTTTTTTTCCCCGCACAGTTTTGCCATAACACAAATTTCAAGTTCCGAATTCGGGCTACCACGTGCCCATATTAAGTGGAAGATTACGTTATTTAAAATTTGATGGTTCTAGGTACCATTGTTTTATAACAATGCGAGAAAAATACATACATTTATGCAGATTTTTCATTATTTAATTTAAATATAATACAGGGCTATAATATTTGGTGGCAACAATTTGAAAATTGAAGCGGCATTTACAGTGAACCAACGCAAAATACCAAAACGAAATTAATAGCCGTTTGGGGCTAACGGCCTTTGAGCTAAACAATTTTAAATTAAAAAAATATTAGAAAATCTCAATTTTTTCTTGAAGTAAGAGCAAGAGCTTCTTATATTAGCGTAATTGCCATAGAAATGTGCTAAATCAATTTACTTAGCTGCGCTCACACTGAGTATACTGTTTCTTCTTTATGCATTACATGTATAAGGTTACAAATGAGAAGAATACAATCCAATCCACCTGGTCTAAGAACAGACCTTATGATCTTACTTGGGTCGCCTCTAAGAACATCGCCCTCCCTTCTGCATACTTTCGTGCTGTAACGGTAGCCCACTTGGCGCGTATTCGAGAGGTCCAGGTTCGAGTGTCGGCGAGGGCATTGCTCATTTTTCAGGACTTCTGCTTCTAAAAAAAACCTAATGTCGAACCCCTGTCGAAAACTAGTCGCACCAAGTAAATGCGGTTAAGCCACGCGAAGCAGCAATAATTCTGGAAGCAGATGCTTACGCAACAGAGGTGATGGCAATAGCCTAACCTAACACTCTCTTTCTGAACCTCGGTTTTTAATTTTTTCCTTCAACGTAGAATTTGCATTCCTTCAAGCGCGCTGCCAAATTAAAATATTCTCGGATTTACAATTACGGGATAGAAGACTTACGGGAAATAATAGCAAATTAAATGAAATTGGTTATTTAAAATAAATATAAATCAATACATAGTGTTTAGTCTTTTACAGATGTTAAATTGTTTAGCTTTTATTTTCGCAAAAATCGATAAGTGTTTAGACAAACGCAACCTTTTTAGTCCAAAGGGGCTTTGTCCCTGAAGGACTATTGTTTCCGTTTTGCGATTTTGCGTTGAATCTAAATATCCGTTTCACTTTTCAAACTGTTGCCACCAAATGTTAGAGTCCTCCTTTATATTTAAGGAAATTAAATAATGAAGCATATGCATAAATGTATGTATATTTCTCGCATTGTGATAAAACAACGCTACCGAATTTTGAATGACGTAATCCTCCTACGAATATGGGCATGTGGAAGACTAAATTTGAAATTTGGAATTTGTTTTATTATCAATTTCATATTTTGTAAAACTTTAACGAATTTTTGAGTAACAAACTCAACATTTAAAAGCGAGCAATGGCAACACTCTACGACGGGGGGGGAACTTTTTATCTCCAGGAAATTCTAAATATATTCTAATTTTAAAATTATTTTGCGACATTGGTATTGAATGAATTTTATGGTTTAAGTGCAAAAAACATGATATTTAATAAATCAGGGTAACACACAAAACGTTAAAAACGCCCCTTGGATGTAATTTAAAATCTAAAACCTTTCAGGTTTTTTTTTTTTTTTTTCGTTTTTTACTGCATTTATCTTACCCTTTTGCACTTAGGTTTATATGAACCCTTCATTTTGTTTTCTTTTGGGCGGGAAAGTTTAATGAAAAGTATTAAACTATTCGTTACTCTTGCATCATGTAAAAATCAAATATTCCAGTTACAAACAAAGAAGAATAAACATATTAAGCGACTATCTAAAAGTCTTAATATCTTAATGTTATCTGAAATCAGCTCAGAAGACAACGAAAACGCAGTTGAAGCGTCTTACAGAATAAATTATCCTATCGTTAAAAGTGGTAAAAACTGTATGATGCTAAACATTTGATAGCCTTTTGTGTCAAAGAGCTTTCTCAATGTATGTTTGGAAATGAACATGTTCAGTTATTAACAACATACTTTTCTCAAGCAATGCAGTTTTTTTGAGAAACAAGGGCGTGTCGAGATATTCAATCATTAGTAAGGTAGAGAATAAAAAATAGTCAGTTTTTTTTCCCGTACAGATAGAAGACTTCGATGAATTAAATCATTCTATTTTGCATTTTATTGCAAAATGCATATATGTTAATAAGTTTGAGGCATTTTTTTACTGTGATATTCTCTCACCGAAAGATGTGCAAAGGATTACATTCTTAATGTACCCTCGAACCACTGCTGTATGTATAAGCAATGCCTAGGTTCCATGTCTTTACCAGATTCAATGAGAGAAGCGACGAACATGTAATAGTCATTAATTTCATTAAATGCATAGCAACAAACTCTAGGTTAGGGATTCCCAACCTATTTTTGCATTAAACTCTTTTATCAGAATGGTTTTCTTCAACCACTGCCGTACACTTTTCTTTATAATTACATAGCATACTAATACATATTCAGAATACGAATAATACCTCATAAACAGTTTCAAAATAGCACTTAGACTTATAATATGAACAAAAGTTTTGAAAAAAAATTATTAGGTTTATGTTCTCTTGTTTTTTGTATTATTATTATAATTATTATTAATTTTACAAATGTATGCATGTTTTTAAATCACAGATTTTTGCACAAAAGTTTGATTTTAATTAATTCGATGGCGGCATTTGACATATGATGCAGTATTTTGCAATATTTATCATAAAATTGCTTAACGTTTAAATCACATCTTTGAAAAATATTCAACTATTTTCTTTTTGTTTTCCGTAGTATATTATTGACCTGAATAAATCCTTTTAGTTTTTTGTTTGTTTGTTTGTTTGTTTGTTGCATTTGATTATGGCAAAGCACTCGAGGGCTATCTTCTTATCGAAAGGGCTGCATTCTTGGAGAGGACTTTGTAAGCGGTAAGAAAAGAAAAACATCAATGATTATTAGTTCGGTGATAACTTTGATTTAGGTGTATTTCTGTCGAAGGTTTTTATATTCCAAAACGTAGCCAAACCTTTTTCTTTTTTGTTATAATCGGGAGAATTTTGAACCGATTAATTGCCAGTGCATATTCGGCTTTCAACTCCGGCTGTATGACCATCATTAATCCCTTTTAAAATTTCGTCGATCCTCTGGGGTCAATAACAAGTCCGTCGCGAACTTCTACTCTAGACTTTTTAAAGAATTGTATGATAAGATAGATAAACTAGTTTCTTCCATATAAAGAGTTATTCTGGCTGTTGAGAATGAAAGTAATAAATAGACTGCTTGAATTTAGATGACAGGCTCACATTTATTTGAAGTCCGACCATTTCAGTAAGCTCGAAATTTCACGATAGTGAACGGCTTCAAAGATTTACATTTCTACTTGATGCTTTTCTAAAAAAAATAAGTAAACTCATTTCATAATTATAGAATATTTACATAACTGTTTTCAAAGCGCCTGGCAAAACTGAAACTATGATAAAAAAGTAAGTTTTAGGAAGCAGGTAGTGAAAAATATCAGACCGAAACATATGAGATACTTTACAACTTCTTGTCGAAATCTGAGCTTCAACTTACCAACTACCGTAATCAAAGATAATATAACAACCTATTTAAAAGGACTCTTAAGAGTTATTCAACTATTGCTTTACCATACGAAGTGAGAAAAACAGCTGGATTTGAAATCATTTTAACGAAGATTTCTTCAGTTGGATTTGAAATCATTTTAACGAAGATTTCTTCAGTTGGATTTGAAATTCATCAATGAAGATTTCTTCAGCTAGATTTGAAATATCTTCTATGAAGATTTCGTCAGTTGAATTTGGAATCCTTTCAATGAAGATTTCTATAAAGTTTTTAGCAGTCTCAGAATTATTATTTTCTGGAAAGAATGACTTACGATTTTATTTCTCTAACTTGATGACTTCAAAATATTGAGCTCAATGATGTAATCTCAAGGATCACATCAGTAATGAAGCTTAAATAATAGTTCAAGATTAAGTTACTAAAATCTTTGTTCTTAATGTCATTTGTATTAATCTTTTTAGATATATAGTATGATACATTATAACTGCTTTTTTGTTTACGTGTAAAGGATATTGGCTACTTTTACAAATCGAGTCTAAATTTTTGTCTAATTTTCAAGTTTAATAAGAACGAAATTGTATATCAATTCATTTTGCATTTATTATAATATTAGAATTTTACTATTTTACAACAGTATTACAAAAATTAGTAGGGTTTTATAAAACACATTTATAATAAAAAAATTCATCACATTCATTCAGTTCTCTACAAATTTGTTCAAACAGTATTTATATATTTGATCTGATAAATTGCGTCGTTACACGATATGATGAAACATAATTTAGCATTCATTAGTACTGTGATTTCATTCTGCTTTAAAATTATGTAAAATATGGTACTAATAGTTTATAAATCCATTACAGTAATTTTTCGAAACATACTTACGTTTCTCTCTAACATTCCTAACATTCCTGTCCATCCGTTTGGTCCTTTTACACCCCATGCGTCTTCCAGAACTCTGTGTAATGTGTACCTGAAAAAAAAAAAAAAAAAAAAAAAAAAAACATTTAAATCAAAAATGAAATGCTATACTCGAAAACTTACCATATAACTCTTTATAAGTTTGTATTTCCTAATAATTTCATTTGATGATAACGTTCTTAACATTTGGGGATGTTTTAGAAGGACATGCATAAGTTGGACAAATTCGAGTACTTATTTACTTGGGAAAAAAGCAAAGCAACTAGAAGCCAAGCAAAAGAAGCTTTAAGAAAACTTATAAGCCTGAAAATATCATCATGCAGGGAGAATACACGCCTGAAACGATTTAACGAAGTAAGGGATAAAAAGCTGGCATAAAGGAGAAATAAGGAAAGTATTGCTAAGCTTCGTTTGTAAATAAATTCGTTTGTAAGATATTGTTCGTTTGTAAATGAAGTATGAAATAGGCTTAGTTTTTAGAAACGCTGGTGAAACTAAATTGAAAATTGTACTCCAAACAGTTAATTCATTAGAAGAAAAATCAAATGCCAGTCACAATATAATAAAAAAAGTAATTCTTTGGCGAATCCATAATCGATGATACTTAAGGCAAAAAGCATAGATTCTTACTACTAATTTCATGAAAGCTACATTTAAATGATCAATGCGTTTCTTTTATTTTGTCACCAGAACATAATGTTGGTCTACTACAAATTTTCAAATAGTCTTTTTTTTTTTTAACAATCAGACTATGAAAAATGTTTAAAAATGCATATAAAAATAAAAATGTTTATAAAAAGGAACCAAAACACCCATTTGAATCAAATTTAAACAAAAACAACGAAATTTCCTAAAACGTATATTTTAATCTGATATTATATAAATTACGGAGCATTCTTATAAATCCTATTGCAAAATATTTCCATTTTAAAAATTTTTCAAAATTAAATTTTAAAAATTTTTAAAAAGCGCGATTTGTCAGGTATAATGTTTATTGAAGGTTTTTTTTTTAATGTATTATCAAATGGGCTGTGGATGTGGCTGTTTTATATTCAGTTAAATCAAGTGTTGCAAAATATGCAGTATGCCCTAATATGTGCATTACATTTAATGATTTTATGATTCTGCAATTATTTTTGTTTCTTAAGTATATTTATTCCAAGTACTGTTGTAACGAAATAAATAAATAAATACTGTGATGTAGCCGTTCCTCAATAGACACTAATGCCGGCTAGCTTTAAAAGGATTTATTAACAGAGCACACAGGAACGGTTACAAACAAAAGAAATATACATAAAAATGAAACATATACCAAATGGAACATCAAACATTGAGAATAACATAACATAGTAAGCTATCATCATGGCGGCTGGAGGTCGACTGACGTTTTTTCATATCGCCACGAGATGGCGTTTAAATAAAATAGTTCGGTTACAGTTCATGACATGAATAAAATAGTTCAATTACACTTAAATAGGTCTGTTACACATCCCTCCCCCTCTGACTTCGTAGACGTCTCGGCAAGAAGTCAGGAACTGACATTTTGTCTACTTTATGCAGCGGGCGGAGAATCAGATGGACGGGCTCCAGTTTAAACGAGGAGTAGATTTTGCGTCACACCAGCACCTTGTGCAACAGGTGCAGATTCGGATGGTATTACACGTTTCGGGCGTCCTCTTTTTCTTTAAGGGAACCACTGGAATTACACGAGCTGAGTTTTGCTTATTTCGATCTTGATATGGGTTTCAAGGCTGAACATGAACATGATACTTGCCGAGAATTTTGTCTGGTTCATGAGGATCGGCAATATCATAAGTGGTTGGAGATCTTATAGTCACTATTACATAAGGACCATCTCTCTTGGGCATGAATTTAGCAGTTTTCTTCAGTGGACCTTTGCTGATTGGGTGGAGGGTGACCCAAACTTTATCTCCAGGAACGAATTTCGGTGTTTCTCTTCGTTTTTTGTCAGCATATCGTTTTCTGCTTATCTTTGATGCAATTCGACTCTTTCTCGTACCTGTTGTATATATTTCTTGCAAAACGTTTCAAATATGGAGTAATTTCGGGGAACAAAATTATCGTTCTCAATTACAGCTTTTATTTTATATAGCTTAGTTAGAATTACAGCTTTTATTCATTTCTAAGGTACATCGTAACTCTCGTGCAAATTGAAGAAATGCAGCAGAATGTCCAGTTGAATCACATTTGGCTGTATTCAAAGCAACCTTATTAATGGCAGTTTATCTTTCCATGACTGATGGTCGTTACCAACAAGTATTGCTAAACGCGTGGTTTCAGAAATCTCTATTCTTCTTTTTCAACTGGGTTAGATTGTGGGTGATAGACAGGAGTAAAGACTTTGATCAATGTTTCAAGATATAGCATAGTTGTTGCATAACAAGCACTAGTAAACTGGGTACCATTATAACTTATTATTTTCCTAGGTAATCCCAAATCGAAGGGCGACTTTTCCTCCAAAAGAATAGTGGCACATTCTCTCTGGCCGTGGCTTTCCTATAAAGCAAATAGTTTTTCTGTCCACTTCGTAGCACAGTTCCTGCACAATTAAAAATCCATTTTTCACCAGACGGCGTTTCAGGAAGGGGACCGAAAAGATCAATTGACAAGGTCTTCAAAACGTTGAGCATAGGACTGGAATTTGAAGTAAGCCAGATGGCTTTTGATTAGTGGTTTCTCCCCCTACTTTGAAGACAGTGTGATATTTGTTAAGCAATGCATAAGTTGCAAGCCGTTGGGCTGTAGTTAATTGTTGTCCTTCGTTTTCTCGTAGTTGGCAGTTGTTTACAACAACTGGGGTTTCTTCCAGTACTTGGGATTGATGAGGTTTCACGAAGCTATATTTTCTTCGAGGTTCATCAGAAAAGTTCCACTTATTTTCAGCCAAGATTTAAAACAAATTTAGCTTTTTGAAGAAAGTAAGTTCCTAACAAAGTCGAGTAATTCTTGGCATCAGGCAACACAAGGAGCGGAGTTTTGAACTCTCTGCCTTCGAGAAGAATGATTTGTTCGGTGCGAAGTACCTCTTTTTCAGATACCAAACCATCAGCGAAAGACACCTCTAGTGTTGTCTTTTCAAATACTGCGTCTTGTTTCTGCAGAATATGATAGAGGGATTCACTTGCAATTGAGTGACTAGCACCAGTGTCGGCGAAAGCTGTACCGGAAACACCACCAATACTAATTGGAAATACAGCAGTCCGAGTGGAAGATAAACAGGATCGGATTTGGATAGTGCCAAAATTTGATGAATTTGAAGTCTTGGAGGGGGGGTTACAGTTCTGGACATTTAGACTTGATAAAACCAGTTTTTCCGTACCCATAGCATGTTAAAGAGGAGGTCGCTTTTCCTCTGTTTGTTGCTGAACACGATTTGAAAAGGTTTTATGAGTTCCCTGTACGTCACCTGTTCGATTTTCTACTTTGTGTTTGGATGGATTAGTCCGTTTGTAAGAATAGTTCCGCCTGCCAGGAAGTTCAGTTTTATAATTCGTATTTTTAAACACGTACAGCTTCATAATCATCCGATTTCTGTACTAATTCAGATGAACTCTTTATTTTTCTTTTTTTTTCCCCAAGTATCAATAAAATGCTCCTTAACGTCACTACTGACTCTTCTCTTTTAAGCTGATCCGTCAGGACCAAGTCTTTGAGTGATTCAAAGTCTGTAACATCGAGACTATGGAGCCACTCTTCGAGATAATTGTTTAATTCGTAAGTAAAATCTTTCCATAAAGACCCAGGGTGTTTTTTTGGTGTGTAGTAAGTTTAATTCGAAATGATTCAGCATTTAATTTGAATCTTTGTAGCAGAATCTTCTTGATGTAAGAATAATCTTCTAATTTGTCTTTTGGTTCTCTTAAAATAATTTGCGAAATGTCTATAGGCAGAAGAGGTAGGAGATGAGTGATGTAATCTATTTGTTTTATATTAACTTTCTCACATTGTCTTTCAAAAATTTGCAGATAGGTTGCAATGTCAGAAGTTCTTGTAAATTTAGGGATTAGCTGTTGAATATTTGTTCCAATAGCTGCATTTGAAGCAAAGGCGGCATAGCCAGGATTTGAGCTAGCAGCTGCCAGGTTTAATTTTAAACGTTCCAATTCTAATAAAAGTTCTTGTTCTTTTCTTTGACGTGTCTCCAGATCGTTGCTTTCACGTTGTTTTTGTTGTCTAGTTTCGATTAAAGTTTCCAGAAGATTCCTGGTAAAGCCTCATCATAAGTGTCAGAATTGACAATAAGATCTAAAGGTCTATTACTCGCATAGTGTCGTTTACAGTGAAACCCAGTTCTGCAGCGAGAGTTTTTAAATCCTCTTTTCGCGCTTTGGCAAGGTAAGCCATAATTATATGAGAGGTCAGGGGGGAGGGAAAAGATGAAAGTTGAATTTGTTGTTATTTCGATCGTTATTCACAATACAGTATTTTTGCACAATACAGTATTTTAGAATTAATAATTATACCTTTAAGTAAAATGTATATACCTCTATTAAACAGCATGTATGAATGTAAACAATGTTACTACTCATACATTTTATATACCACTATTAAACAGTATTTTATAATGTAAACAATAATACTCACAAAGTTTTATTATTTCGGAGTCGTAAAATATCATAAAATGCCCTCATAAATTCAACTTATATCAAGAAAATAACATATAATAAATTGCTCAAAAATTGTTTTTACTACTTAGCAACATACATAAATGTCTTACCATAAGCTTTTATATTTTAAGCTGAATTCTTCGAAATCTTAATCTTAAAAAACTTAAAAAAATATTAAGCTGATTAAGCAACACACACTTAGTAACTCTTTTACTTTATTTAAATGGTCATTCGATGTTATTCATAATTTTTTCTTTCGCTTCAAGAAATATTTTCAAGACATGCATTCATTAAAGGAAAACAATCGTATTTTCTTAAAGTATTATACTATAATCATTTTTCTCAAAATGTTCGTCGAAAGATAAATCAACAAGTACAATATTTTTATTTTATGTAGAAATAAACATTTAATAAGGAACAACAGCACTCAAAGGAAATAAAAATAATAAAAGATTTGACGTAAACACATCATAAATCATCGCTAGTCTAAACATTTCCGCGGGGGGAAAACATCTGCTGCTGTAAATCAGAAGCGAAATTCTAATAAAATTCCAATGAACAACGTCCATAAATATATTCAAACTTTAACATCAAAACATGTATTCAGTGAACACAATATTCATAAATTAATTTACTATGGTTACTATGCGCATTAACATTTTAAAATAACAAATTACAATTCAAGAAATAACGTTTGGTTAACAGAAAGCCGTTTGCTTTCGTTTTAATACTCTTAAGTAGTCCTCAATAAATGAGATTTCAGTAAAGAATTTATATTTGCTTTAAGAAGCAGCTTATAAATAATAATCAGTTTAAAAGAACTTTAAAACTCAGATTAAACGATAATGTAAACGAAACTTATCTTTTCCGTTTGAAATTGTCCATCTAGTTGATGATTCGATGTGCTAGCAGCACGGTATGACAATTTTAATTCCAGAATTGGTTTCCAGAATATTTGACCAGCAGTCCACACCTGAAAAGAAACTGAGCCGATCTCCAGCAACTAAAAGTTAAATTCGGGAGTAAGAGCTTGTTCAAAGCCAAACAGAAATTCTAAACATTTTGTTGCGCAATTTTGGATTCAAATTTAATTGGGCGCCAATGTGATGCAGCCGTTCCTCAATAGACACTAATGCCGGCTAGCTTTAAAAGGATATTAAACAGAGCACACAGGAACGGTTATACAAACAAAAGAAATATACATAAAAATGAAACATATACCAAATGGAACATCAAACATTGAGAATAACATAACATAGTAAGCTATCATCATGGCGGCTGGAGGTCGACTGACGTTTTTTTTTTCATATCGCCACGAGATGGCGTTTAAATAAAATAGTTCGGTTACATTCATGACATGAATAAAATAGTTCAATTACACTTAAATAGGTCTGTACAATACTAAATAAATAAATAAATAAATAAAATGTTTATTTATCCAATAAATATTAAATTGTTCTTAAAAATCAGTTTTGTCGATCCGATCAATGGTATAAATCAACTGAAACTGATTTCGTTGCCAATAAATATCGAGAAGATAATTTAAAATCTTTGTTACAGACTTGCATCAAGAATAATAAATATTGTTTTAGTGAAAAGACCTGAAGACAAGCACATACGTGAAATTTAAGCGTCGAGCCAGCACATCGAGAGCTTCAGCTAGTGATCCAGACATAGTTGTACTGCCATTATTCTCATGAAGCTGCAGGAACGGTAGATACTGAAATTTCAATAAACAAAACACTGATTAAAATACACCATTCTACTCTTCATAAATAAAACAAAAAAATTTTAATAGAATATATTTTATCTTATAATAAAAAAGGCAATAATAAAAAAAGGCAAATACATAGATGCAATAGCATATTTGAGATGCAATATTTAGCTATCCAAAATTTAGAAATGTTTTTTATCTATGTCAAACCCTTCCAAAATTTTCAATTCAGAAATCGTGAAATCAGTTTTTACTTCCATTGCGAATTGAGTCTTTTTAATTAAACTACTTATGTTGCTTGAAATTGAAAAACTCAGACACGAACACTGTTAAAAAGTCAGAATCATTTGGTTTTGCAAACGAGATGATATCACCTTATTTTGATTAAAATATTAATGAAAACTCATCACACAACTCATAGAAAATGTGCAAAACATTTATCACACAGTGGCTCAGAGGCTAGGAAAAGGTACGTCTATGGGCACAGACTTTCGTTAACCCAATAATTTTGCATGTAAGGAACACTATAGAAACAGAAGTGAGTTCCTTCTTATTCATAAAATTTCCACGGCCATCCAATTTTTTTTAATTTAATCCAAGTAGGAAATTGTAGGGCAAGTGTTTTTCGTTCTCTCTTAATAGGAGGAGGAAAGACGCATTTCAGCATGCCCATATCTAAATCAACTATAGTGATGTTGTAAGATCGTCCAAATGTGTAGGAAGAAGAGAAACAGAAACAGAGTTTCACAGCTTTTCTTGAGAAAGTAATAAAATGGGGTTAAATCTGGACTTTTTTATCCCAACAGCCACAGTTGTGTACTGGTGTGCTGAATGAGAAAGTAATACAATGGGGTTAAATCTGGACATTTTTATCCCAACAGCCACAGTTGTATACTGATGTGCTGAATGGCTAGTCCAGTGCCAAGGGAGATTTTTATTTGTTCAGTGAACAAAATAGGGTTTTGCATATTCAATTTTATAAAAGTATATTTTCATTCAAGTATATAGAAAGCTTTTTTTCCATCTGATTAGCTACCATATTACTTTATAGACGTTGAGAATGCTAACGTGATGTTTACATCACGAAAAGAAAAGGAAACAGATGGTTTTAAATTTCGAGACCTCCTTTATAAAGCAGACTTAAATACTTTCTGATAAAAACAGATGTTCCTCTATTTATAACTATTCAATCTATGTTTTAGTTATTTAGTCTTTTTTTTAACTGTTCAACCTATTTTACCTATTACACTTTCAAAGTATTTTCACACGAAGTACGAAACACAAAATTTCAAAACATTGCGCATTAATTAATAACAGCCGTGTTTCAAATGCGTTTAAAACACTTTTCTCGAAATTCATCGAAATGCAATGCTTCCAGATAAATTCAAGATACAAGGCACTGTCTGTACCTAATTTTATTAAGTCACTGCTTGAATGAAGAACTTCAGTATATATGTTTCCTTAAAAATATTTTTCATAGCTTCGAAACAGTTTGATTCTCATAATCCTTATACAATAACAGTCGTGACTGAGGGGGATGTTATAATCACCTTAGAGCCTAGCATTTTTAACATAAAATGATATTTAATTTGATTTATTTCAGTTCAATAATTTTATTGAACAGAAATGGTAGTCCAAAGTAATTATTTATTGTATTATTTCTGTTCAATTATTTTATTTAAAGCATGCATAGAATATTTTGTATATTCTGTCATTAACATTAAAAAAATGAATTTTCGCATAAAGCATTTATGTCTATATATTACTAAATAGCTAAGGAGATAAGTATTTCTACACTGAAAAATAAATTACGATATTGAATGTAGGAAACGTGAGTGAATATTTGTACAATATTTTATAATAATCGTCATAAAAATTCACCTAATATTCATTCCTACGCTGACTTAAGTAGCATATTTTAAGCTTCTAAATTCACTAAAAGCATACTTCTAGTGTTATCTAATTGCTAAAACATATTTGAGAATACGGGCTGAAATCCATAAATTTTTTTAGCATTTTTTGCAATGTATATTTTAGATTCAGCTATTAAATTCGTCTAATTTAGTAATAAATAAATATAATTTTTCTTTCCAGAAATAGAAAAAAAAGTTTAAATAATCAAAATTTTCAAACCTGTGCAACAGCTACTTTAAAATGCATTTCGTTTAATGACGGACGCTCCCCCTATAAAATAATAAAAATAAATAAATTTTTGCCTTCATACTGAAATGTGTCTTAGTCTAGCATACAGCTTAGAAGATTTTTTATTTAATGTTTAACAATAACATTTAGCAATTAATACAAAGATAGAAATATTTCTATTAAAGATTTAAAAAAGATATATAATAGAATCTATTTTAGCCGGCAGAAATGGGTACTCACCGATTCTGGATAAGAGATTTTTTCGGATAAGTGAATATATTATCTCTAGAAGTTACCTGTTCAGGCTTTATGATGCAATGAAAGTCCCTTGGATCTGTTTTTAAAACACACTCAGAAGTTATTATATTAAAAAAATTAACTTTTTAAAATTACCTTGCATGACACATGAAACTTATGAATATTTTAGTGTAATGACATATAACTTCAATATCTGCCTACGTCCCCACAGTCCCCGCATTGTCCCCGGAATTTTAAAAATTCGCTTTATGTAACATCATAACACCATCTGCTAACAAAGGTGCACATTTCTTGGCAAACCTTATGAAAGTTTGCAGTTCATCGTGCGCTTCCTTCCACGTCATTTCCTTGCTCTGCATATTGTCTTCATTTTCATCTTCTCTTCCTTCCGCCTTATCTTTCTGCTTTCCCATTACATGTCCTATTATTTTGTCGTTATCTTGAGAAAGCGTGACGAGAAGAGAATTTTCTACGTCCATCCAGTTTGGTACCTCCTCTTCACGAATACTAGTCTTCTCTGAAAATGTAACTAAATCCAAAATGTCAGAAACGGCCTCCGGATTTGTTTTATAATTAAGAGAATCTACGTCACTCAACTCGTTATCTGCAAATATCATCATAAGCCACAATTTACATCAACAGCAACGTAAAGTAATATTTTCTAGATTTTTTTCAGGCAAGAGCTAAAGCAAATATGGCATCTTTCAATGCGAATTTTCGGTCACGTAAACCACCCTCAAAGTTCAGTCATCGATGATTATAAAGTTCTTTATCAGTTCACCTTTATAATATGGATAATTCATTGGTTGGATAACGATTGTTAAGCTGGGAGGCAGAAATGTAACAAAATATTTTTCTACATTTAAATCTTGAAGTTGTAAATCTATTGCATAATTTTAATCTCATCGTTCTAATTCAGAGATTTAAATTTAAACCGTTAAAAGTGCCGTTATTTTGATATTGATGGTTAACTGGGTGCAGGATACGAGTAATTATACTGTACAATATATCTAAGTGGTCAGTGATCCTAATATCTCTGTATTAAGAAACAATACATTACGAAGGATTAGGAAACAACGTAGAAAACGTATAAGCAATATAATGTGTAAAATCGCATTTCAGAATTGGAGCTTGATGAGTGAAAGTTTGTCTAATACTAAGTCAATCCTTCAAAATTCCAAAAGAAACTCTTTTCCTTTCGGAAATATTTCCAAAATGCATTTTAAAATACGATTTCTAATGGATTAAGGGATTTTGACAGCAAATCTGTTACATTTTTTGCATAATTTCTCTTTCTTTTAGTTATAATAAAAGGCAGATATCGACTTGCCTTTACTAAAATAGAGTTGACGCAGCAACAGTGTTAAGGCTCCATTAGTGACCGAGTGGTTAGACCGCTGAGTGCTTGGGAGCTGGAACCGAGCTCGATTCTAGGCGAACAAGCTGGTTGGATAATTGGCTTTTGTGGTTTTTTCCACGTGAAAAGTGACTGCGGTCCAATTCCTCTTAGGAAGTCCTCCACGAAGGCATCCCTCTCACTAAGCAGATAGCTGTCTTGTACTTTGCATTACTGAAATGACGTAACCTAGCAGCAGTATCAAAGCTGTCCTGGCAAGTTTTCAACTTAATACAAAAGTAAAAACAATAGGAAATGAGAGACCATATAATCGATTTTTGAATTACATGATTTTTAATTCAATATATTTATTGAAAATCATTCATGCCTAAGCGAAAGTTTTTCATGAATCATTTTTATATGTATATCTGTAAAAATATTATTAAGAAAAAACATATATATGTATAACTAATCTGTGTATAACCAATTTATCGAATTATACATAGCATTTTTTACCTCTTTTTCTTTAATTTTCTCTGCTACGTCTAATTCTCGATAACAAAAAGCAAATAAATTATGAAATAAACAAATATACCTTTCTGAAAATTTATTGGTCATGAAATTGTTACAAACAATATTATGTGTCATTAACAGACCTTTATTTTTGTGTCACTAATTGCTAGTTTTCAACCAACTATTGATTCCATAATCCACCATTCCATTAGTTATTCTTTTGTTGATGCTTTGAAATATTGCGGTACTATCTGACAGGTAAATAAATCATAATAATTTTCAAACGCATCTTATTCCGCGTACTAAGTGTTATTGATTTCTTCTGACAATATGAAAAGAATGTTACATCCTTTGACAGCTAAGCGAATTATAGTAGTTTCAGAATGGTAAACCTACAATCAAAACATGAAAATGTAGGGAAAACAATTTAGTGATGAAAGAAACGATATTTTGCTATTGGAATAGCATCTTTTCCACACGTTATAACTTGCTAATTATTCATTTCGAATGCGACAGACGACAGCAGCTCAAATGCTAATTTTTGTAATATAAAGAGCGAATATTGTTTAGACCTGTGTTCGAGTTTATTCAGTTTCCTAGCTCAATAAGCAAAAAATTTTTAATGTCATACTTTTACATGTGTCCATAAAGTAAAAGACTTCAAACTGCTACTAGCTACACATAAAAATACTTAATAATTAGAACTTTTGTTTCCTATATAAAGATTATTTGTGTTATATTCTTAAATTAAGCTAATTTTTTAACGGAATGAAATACTGTGAAGCAATATACACTGGTCTGCAAAGGTTTAAGCAACAAAAGAAATCATTAGTCTATAACGCATGAGAAACAAGGTATGGCCACAAAATTTGTGCACACAGTAGGAGGTACTTTCGCGAAAAGTAAACCACAGAAAAAATTTTGTATGCCAGCAATTTTTCAAATGGAAAGGCTTTATGATATTAATAAAATCTGTTTTTTGGAGAACTTACAACTCTATATTACAGATCGCAATCGAAGAAGTCAAACCTGAAAAATGAAAACCATCTGAATTACATAAGTTATAAAGTATTTCTCCCACTTTCCTAGTGTGCCTTCGTTGTGTAGTGGTTCTGCACGCTGGGCCCGGTATTCCAGAGGTCCGTGGTTCGATTCCCGGTGAAGGCGGTTGCTATTTTTCATCTTTCCTGCTACCAAAAATATACCTAATATCTCTACAGTGGCGCTCGAACTAAAAGGGTGTTGGATGAAGATTCTCCACACCCACGATTTGGCGATTGGGTCCCCTAAAAACCTCAGTTGCCCTTTAAAAAGGGGAGTATATTAAGTTATTTCTCCCACTTTCCTGGCATGCTTTCGTGGTATAGTGGTTCTGCACGCTGGGCCCAGTGTTCCAGAGGTCCTGATTCGATTCCCGGCGAAAGCGGTTGCTATTTTTCATCTTTCCTGCTACCAAAAATATACTTAATGTCTCTACAAGTTATAGGACTGCATGCTGTCTTTCGAAAGTGGGCAACGTCAGTTGGAAGTAGTCCGATCCCTAAATGTCAATTATTCTTTCATTTTTTGCCTGTGAAATTAGTATCATAAGGAAGCTACTGTGTCATGAAGACCAGTAATCAGACCTCCCAAGGGCCATAACTGTTTAAGATGACCACTTTCTGTGTTTGCAAACATAACACTACTACTCAACAGCTGTATATCAGCTTGCTAGTTCTGATCTGTTGCCGACAAAATTTTTGTCATTGTCTGTAGTACCTCATTCATTGTGTTTTAGCACTTAATTGATGCATTACAAAGACTTATAAATGGCCAAATGGATAAGATTAGTAATTACTACTCTTATATCGTAGACTCAATTCTCGACAGTTTGAATCTATCTGTTCTCCGAAGAGGGTTTCATAGTTTTCAAACTATGTATAACGTTAGCCTGTTTTTCTGGGAAGGGTTTCTGTAACTGCGTCACTTCTAATGCAGATAGATCTCCAGAGTTTTGCCGTAGTTAAGTAACTAGTTAAATAAGTACGGCAAAGCTCTGGAGAATATAACCATAAACATGAATATCATATCAGAATCATTGAAACGAATTCTTTTATTCGTATGAGGATATACTAAAAATAATAGAAATACAGCATAATAGCAATGAAAATAATTAAAGTATTACTAGGAATTATTTTTAAAAAAATGAATTTTGTAAAATATCATCAGCAACTTCAAAAGTCAACAACACAAATTTTCCTGAAATATCCCAGATGGAAACCATAAGTTAATTTAGACCAGTTTTCTGATTATATATTTTTTTCCAACCAACATTTTTGTGGTGGTATTCCAAGATGTAATACAAAAAAGAAAAAAAGTTTAATTTAGTAAAAACCTTCAAAACCCACGTTTTCGCGAAAACATGTTTATTGTTATGTTTTCGATTATAACAAGATGAAACTGGAAAACATAGCTCTACTAATCGAAGGGTTAAAACAGCTACTGGAAGTTCAACTCAGGTTCCAACCCAAGCGAACGAGATCTTTTTCGTGTTTTTCTCCATATGTAAACGCCAATATGAATTTTCTCTTAGAAAGTCTTCCACGAATTCACCCCTTCCCCTTAAGCCGATAACCTTCGCATAGTATTGCCGTATTCAAATAACCTAGCCTTCTGAAACGTACAATGACATCTTTGAACAAAATGTAAAGCTCTTATGAAAATGGGTTACAAATTATCTCATATTTTGGGCTGCACTATTAAGTCGAAAACAAAAGAGTCTTCTTGAACAATCTTTTCTGAAATTGATGTAGTAATAAGTTCTTAGAAAAAAATTCTGAAATTAATTTACAAAGTATTTAATGAAAAACTTTTAAAGAAAATGCTTAAGTACTATGAATTCTCAATCGCAAAGTAGTTATACTGCTAAGGACTGCATTAAAAAGAAATAAACTTGTAATTTCTGAATGCAATATATATTTAAAAAACTGTTTGTAGGTAGCAATACTGCACGTTTGGTAGCAAGACTGAGCAAAAATTGTTTGGAGGTATTAATACTGCACCTAAATTTCAGTGACAGGAAATGTACTGGCTCATGATCAAAATATGAGGAAACTATATATCACTGAAGCTATATAGACCAGAGTTTCACAGCATGGATGATATTACTCAAACACTGGACAATAAGAGCATGCTTAGAAAATTTGGTTGCTTAAACACTTTTGAAACAATATTTCATTTTGAAGCACTTGAACATTCCATTGATTATGCAAATAAAACTCATTCACATCTTTGTAAGAATCATACCAAGTCACGTCTTTCGAACTTTTATATAAGTTGGTCCAGGTTGCATAAACTTTCATTTCTCCGTTACAAGAAATAGCAAATTCAAACTATCAGTCTGATATTCTTAAACTGTAACCAGAAATTTATACTTGTAATGATATCCATATAGCATGTTCTTGTGTGATTTGATATCGACGTAGCTGCTTCGACATACATCCGAGTAGTATGCCGTTCTATACGGTCACGTGCTTTGTGGCAGAAACTTT